TGGAAGCGCCAGTTCGCAGCTGAATGTTGCTCTACTTTTCGCTTATTTTCGCACAGGACACGCGGGCCATGACGATCCACCTGAGGCGAGCATCCGCGAGGTGCCTCAGCTGACGGGCAACGAGGAGATCTTCAATCTGGACGGCCAGATCAAACACAAGGTGGCATTCATCGAGAAGTATGTGCCGAAGGATGTGAAAATCCATCTCATTGGACATTCCATTGGCGCGTGGATGATACTGCAGATGCTGGAGGAGGAGAGCGTGCGGAGTCGTGTCCAAAAGTGCTACATGCTCTTCCCCACGGTCGAGCGCATGATTGAGTCGCCCAACGGTTGGGTCTTCACCAAGGTCGGCATGCCCCTGTACTCGGTGTTTGGCTACATCTTCTTCAGATTCTTCAATGCTCTGCCCGTCTGGCTGCGCCTTCTCCTCATCCAGATCTACTTTCTCATCTTCTCCATACCGCGTGCGTTCCTGGGCACTGCCCTCAAGTACTCGAAACCCTCGGTGGCCGAGAAGGTGGTGTTCCTCGCGGACGATGAGATGAGCCGCGTGCGTGGCCTACAGAAGGAAATTATCGAAAGGAATTTGCATTTACTAAAGTTCTACTACGGCACCACGGATGGCTGGGTGCCCGTCTCCTACTATGAGCAGCTCAAGAAAGACTTTCCGCAGGTGGATGCCACGCTGGACACACAGAAAATTGACCATGCCTTTGTGCTGCGACACGCGCAGCCTGTGGCAGGCATTGTACGGGAAATGATTCAACAGAGCCGCTCGAAATGATGAGCCCAGGATCTCTAGAGGGGAAGAGTCCTTTCCTCCGCCCACTGGCAATCAGTTTTTTGTTAATATTTTTATTACACTCTTTGCAAACTCTCGAAGGAAACAAAACACTAAATATAGTCCAAAAATATCTTGTAAAGCGCCGCCGCTGGCTGTGTCTTTTAGTTGGCCGCAGGCGCCGGCGAGCCAGAGGGACTGCGTGATCCCGACCTGGATCTGCTGCCGGAGCGGGAGCGTGAACGAGAGCCTGATCTTGACCGCGAGCCTGACTTGGAGCGGGAACGAGAGCGCGATCTGGAGCCAGACTTGGAACGGGAGCGAGAACGAGAGCCAGACTTGGAGCGTGAACGAGAGCGGGAGCCAGTCTTTGAGCGAGAGCGAGATCTGGCACGGGAGCCAGACTTGGAGCGCGATCTGGCACGGGAGCCAGACTTGGAGCGCGATCTGGCACGCGATCCCGACTTGGAGCGCGATCGAGAGCGTGACTTATCCGACTCGCCGCCAGATTCAATGCGATTCTTGGCCCGCTTACGCTTGGCGGCAGCATCGCTGTCGCTGCCACTGCCCGAGCCGCTGCCGGGGCTTCTGCTACGCTTGCGGCCACGATCGCTGCCACTGCCACTGGGACTGCGGCTGCGACTGCGACTGCCGCTGGGCGAACGACTGGCGCGGCTGCCACTACGACTTCTGCTCCTACTGCGCCCCTTGCCATCGCTCTCCGACTCACTCGTGGAAATGGTTTCCTTCGACACGATCTTGAGACGCTGCTTGGCCGATAGCTTCTCCTTGGACTCCTTGGCACCGGCGCCTGGTTTGGATTTCTTGCTCTTCCGCTTGCCCGACTTTTGGGCACTGCCGCTGGGCTCCTCCTCGCTGTCGCTCTCGTACTTCTCCGTCTTGCGTTTGCGTCCGCTGCCGCCCTTCTTGCGCTCGCCCTTGCTCTTCTTTTTGCTGGGGCGTTCGCCACCCTCGCGGGGTCCACCCTCGTTGCTGTCGCTGCCAGAGATGTAGTCATCCTTGCGCGGCCGGCCGCCGCCCTTTTTGCGCTCCTTGTCCGGGGCATCGGCAATGATCAGCAGGTTCTTGGTCTTTTCCACATACTCCTGGCGCTTGGCCAGCAGCTGGTCGCGCGACGTTTGTGCCTCCTCCTCGCGACGCTTGCGCTGTTCGGCCACCTTCAGCTTGAAGGCCTCGCGCTCCTCCTCCTGCTTGCGGCGCAACGAACGCTCCTCCTCGTCAATGCGACGGGCACGGCCCACATGGTACTGCGCTTGTGAGAGCAGATCCTGACAGGTGTTGGCCTCCACGCCAGCCACCTCGATATTGAAGCGATTCTTGTCGCCATGCACGGATAGATATTGAAAGTATCTGTGGGAACAAAATAAAGGTTTAAGATGGGATCTTTTAGTGATGTTTCGGGTGGCAAACTCACTTGTGCGCCAGCTCCAGTTCGTGGACTGCTTGCAGGACCACTTCTAGCGTGGATTTCTCATCCTTTAGTATGGCCATGGCCAGGCGGGAGAGCACCACAGCAATGTTGAACAGCAGCACAGTGTCCTGCGGTGCCACACGGCGCGCCTTGAGCAGCACGGCCTTGGCCTCCACCAGCTTATTGGCACGCAGATAAGCCCGCGCCAGATACTGCATCACCTCCACGTTGTTGTGCTTGTAGAACTTCTTCATGCAGTTCTCGTACATCTGAATGGCGCTGATGTATTGCTTCTGCTCCACGTAGACGTGGGCAATGTTCAGCCAGACGTCGGAGAAGTCAGCGGTGGCCTCGCGCACCTGGGCAAAGATGTCGCGCGCCTCGATCACGCAGCCCTTGTGGGCCAGCACAGCGCCGATGCCATTGGTGGCCCAAATATTGCGTGGATCGTTGCGCAGGACCTGCTTGAAGATGGCCAGCGCCTTCTCCTGATGCTTGCGCTCCTTCTCCTTGTCGCGGCTCGGCTGATGCAGCGTCTGCAGCGAGAAGTTACCCAGTGCTATGAGGGAGTAGGCATCCGTGGATGTGGCTGGATTCTTGAGGATCGTTTCAAAGTTCTTTTGGCCCAAGGCAAATTGCATTTTGGCCAAATGGAGATTGCCGAGCAGCGAGCGTGCATCCGGATTGTCGTTGTTGATGTTCAGCGCATCCTTAAAGAAATCCGAGGCCACAAAAATCAAGCCCTTGTCCCTGGCCATGCAGCCCAGTCGCAGGTAGCAATCGATGTAGTTGGGATGCTCCTTGAGGATCTCCTTGTACAGCTTGTCGGCCACATCGTAGCTGCTCATGGCCTCGTTCAGTCGCGCCAAATTGTACTTCATGGTGACCTGAATGGACTCGTAGTACTTGACATCCTTGTCCATCTCCGAGATGGCATGCTGCAGCGCCGACTCCAGCTTCACCTTCGCCTCAATCAGATCCCCCAGGCGGTAGTGCAGCGACGAGACATTGTTCTGTATCTCTGCAGGAATTTCATACTTTGCTTTGTCCTTGAGAATCTTTGATGCTGTGGCGTAGGCAGCCAACGAAGCAGCCAAATCATTCTGCTCCAGGATCTGTGCCAGCTCTATCCAGGCTTCGATGTCATCCGGGAACTGTTCGGTGACCTTCTTCAGGTGCGTCTTGGCCATGTCCCGCTTTGACTGCGAGTTGGAGTGTGCATACAGCGAGCCGAGGATCTTCATGGTCTCGTAGTTCCCTGGCTGGATCTTGAGAACCTTCTCAAAGCACTGCGCTGCCTGCAAGAGTGAAATATTTAATAGAAATTGCTCTTTGAGCAAGGAATATCCTCCAGCAACTTACATTCTCTGTGTCCCCGCGATAGATGTACATCTGTCCTAGGCCATAATGTGGCAGCACAAAGTTTGCCGGCGCTATCTGCGTGGATTGATAGTAATATTGAAACGCCTGATCGTAATCGCTTTGGGCATGGAAGCTCCGGGCCAGCTGGTAGCAGCTCTCGGCGCGCATTGCCTCGTTCTCCGTGTTGTGGAACGCGTGCAGCGCGAGATGATGCACCTTCTGGTAGTCCTTTTTGAAGAAGAAATGATTGGCCAGATGGTTGAGCACCATGGGATTGGCATTGTCGATGGTGTACGCCTTGGAGAGCATCTGCACACCCTCCTTATTCGACTCGGGCTCCAGTTGATTGAGCTTCAGCACGGCCAGACCGATGAGCGCGCCCACACATTGCTGGTCCAGCTCCAGGGCACGCTCGAAGGCGAGTTTGGCCTTCTCGGGATTGCCCATCTTGAGGAAACAGTGGGCCATGCCAATGCGCACATTGGCCGGGCAATTGGGGTTCGTGCGCAGCGCTTTCTTGTAGAAGGCCATCGCACCGCGATAGTCCTTGCGATTGAAGGCAATGCACGCCTTGCCCAGCAGCGAGGGGATGTTCGAGGGCGACTGATTCAGCACAAAGTTGAACTGAGCGTCCGCCTGGTCCATCTTGTCGCCCTCCAGCAGGCAGAAGTAGGCCCGGCCCAGCAAATGGCTCTGGTCGTACATGATAATCTTGTCGGCATTCGTGTACAGGTTCGTGGCCTTCATGAAGAGCTCTCGCTTCTTGTCCTTGGACTTCTCGCGGTAGGCCTCCTGGACATAGTGGGCGGCCAGCATGTCCAGGGCCCGCATGAGATCCTTGTCCGAGTCGCGGTACTCCTTGTTGGCCTCGGGGCCACGCGAGTCCTCCAAGAGCGTGACGAAGTCATCGGTCTTCTTCTGCTTGTAGTACGCCAGCTGGAAGAGAGAGCAGAGCGCCATGTGGCCGCCACATTAGTAATGGAATCAGAGGAAGAGAAAGATTCCCTTGACTTACCGACACATTCACCCACACATGCAATGGCGCACGCTCCTGCTTGAGTATACCCAGCACCTCAAGGCAGTCCGGCAGTTGATCCGGATCCACATCAATGACCTACGAAAATGCGAAACCTCTTGGAGTCTGTTGCGAAAATGCAGAAAAACCGTCTCAATACTCACCTCATCGGTGTCCTGCAAGGGTATTTCAATGCAGTTGGACATGGCTAGAGCGGTATTGGCCTAAAAGCCAACAATCTGAGCGCAAATGACCGTTTATTGGCGAAAAATGTGCAACAAATCCAAAATAAAACTCAATTTTCCATTCCGCGTACGCTTGCTAGAGATGGCACCACCGGTGACAGCCACTGCCGATAGTTGAAGAAAAACACTGACACAACTATCGATAATTTGTGAGCGATCGAAAAGATGGGTGGAGAGTAGAACAAAAAACACGCAAAAAAAATATAAGAAAACAAAGATAGGAAAAATGTGCAATCTTTTGTTAATTTTAGAAAATCAATTCTGGGAATGAGATGTGCTAGCGGATAAGATATAATGCAGGCCTTGGGCAGATCGGGCCACTGTCTGGGTGCCAGTTCCAGCTCGATTCTTTACGCCACATCAACAAAAACAAACGCACACTCACAAAGATGTCGAACAGATGTTCTATGCCGATTACGTAATTATGTGAATTTGGCGCAAAATTCAATGCCAATGTTGGGAGACCCAGTAGCAGCAGAAATAGCCGCAGAACGTGAACGCTTTCCCCAGACGCCGCGACGACTTTTGCACAGTTTTGCTGCCCCTCGGTATTCGCGTTACTCGGCCAGCACCATCATGACGTCCTACTGCAAGGAGCTGCACCTCAAGGACTATGACATCATCGGCTTTGATCTGGACGGCACTCTGCTGCGCTACGATCTCACCAATATGTCGGCCCTCATTTACAAAGTGCTGAAGCGATATTTGGTCGAGAACAAAGGCTACTCCGCTGCACTGCTGGATCTGCCCATGGATCTGGACTTTCTGCAGAAGGGCCTGTTCCTGGATGGGCCACGTGGCAATATCCTGAAACTGAGCAGCGAGGCACAGATCCTGCGAGCCACCCATGGCACGCGGCAGCTGAGCGACCAGGAAATCGTCGCCATCTATGGCCCAGAACGACAATGGGCGATCACCACATCATTCTACAAGGATCCGCTGTCCACCTGGAATGGTGCGGCCTCCGAGCAGATGCGCTCCCTGCTGGACTACTTCGATACGCCCAGTGCGCTGGTGTTTGCCCAGGCGGTGGATGTGGTGGACAAGCAGAGCGGCTCCCAGCCAGAGGAGTACGAAGTGTGGCGCGATCTGCAGGCCGGACTGATGCACATTTTCAGCAGAGATCACTTCTCGAATGACAGCAGTCTGTACTTCAAGGGCATGCGGGAGGATACACCAAAGTATGTCCTGTGCACGGACAGCTGCGTTCTGGACTGGCTGTCGGCGCTGAGGAAATCCGGCAAGAAACTCTTCCTGCTGACGGGCTCCAACATTGATTTTGCCAATATGACGGCCACCCAGGCACTGGGCAAGAACTGGCGGGAGTATTTCGACTTTGTGGTGACCTACGCCAAGAAGCCGGGATTCTTCACCATTCAGCGTCCCTTCCTGCAGGTGGATGTGAGGGAACTGAAGGAGCTGGCCAACACGGAGCTGCCGCAGGATGCAGGCGTACTCAAGCCAGGGGAGATCTACTCGCAGGGCAACTGGCATCAGCTGCATGGGGCACTCGCCAAGCTGCTCAACAAAGAGACGGCACAGGCCAAAGCTCTGTACTTTGGCGACAACATCATTCAGGATGTCTACACACCCGTAAAGCATCGCGACTTTGATGCCGTCGCCATTGCCGAGGAGCTGCTGATGGAGGAGAAGAATTATCCGTATTTCGCCGAGTTGGACTCTCAGCTGTGGGGCTCGTACTTTGCCATCGGCTGCCAGCCCACACTTTGGTCGAATTTTATCAGCAACTTTGCCCAGATCTGTGTGCCCTCCATGAAGGAGCTGGCCCAGTTGGAGCCCGCCCAGCGCATCGTTTGCACCAATCCGTATGGCTTTTCGCCCAAGCTGCCCAAAGAGCTGGAGACGGTGAATCCGACAAGCTGCTGGCAGGGCGGCACAGGGAGTGCCCAGTGAGTGACAACACCAACCCACCTCACTTATCATCGTCTGCTGGTGACAATAAACGATCAATGAACCTCCCCCCAAGGCCTTCGACTCGCAGATAATCTATGCCGCTGCATCTCATCAAAAATTCTAAAGTCACACAACAAATATTTTGTCCTCAGTGCGCGACATAATGCTAAGCACATGGACAAACAAATGTATCCGTACATTTATTGTATGTTTATGTTTATGGAATAGAATATACGACAATTTTTTAGCTACAATTTATACATATAATTACACCAAACGAAATTTCTATAATATACTACCGAAACGCAGTGTACATGCTTAAATTAAACTTTGACCTTCACTTTGTATAAATATATCATGCATAAACAGAAGCAAATTGCATAAACAAATGTGTGCTTGCCACCAACAAGCAAGAGAGAAATATTATTGCTGGAAATGGGCAATTGAAATTCTGGTAATGGAAACACTTTGCAGCTTTTCTAAAATGGATTTTAATTGGCATGCAACTCGAGATACACAAACGAGAGAAACTGCAACTGGTAGAGAACAGACAAAGTGGATAATAAATTAAAAACTGAATGACTAAGCGGTAGCTGCATATGGATTCCAGACACTAGACAACCCGCTCGACGGCCAAGGCAATGCCCATGCCGCCACCGATGCACAGCGAAGCAATGCCACGACGACCGCCAGTGCGCTCCAAGGCATAGAGCAGCGTGACCAGCACACGGGCACCCGAGGCACCTATCGGATGACCCAGAGCAATGGCACCGCCATTCACATTCACCTTGCTGGCATCCAACTTTAAGTCCTGCACCACGGCCAGCGATTGAGCAGCAAAGGCTTCGTTCAGCTCATACAGATCGACTTCCTCGCGTTTCCATGAGATTTTCGTCAACTAAAAGAGGGGAAAATATGAGCCAAAATGCAGGCAGTAGAGGAAGGTTTTAGGATTTACCAAAGCTTCCACGGCGGTGACCGGTCCCAGACCCATTACCCTTGGATCGATGCCACTTTGCGTCCAACCCACTATCTTGGCCAGCGGTTTCAGGCCCTGCTTGGCCACCTCCTCGCCGGACATGAGCAGCACAGCGGCAGCGGAATCATTCACGCCGGAGGCATTGCCCGCGGTGATGGTGCCGCCCTCCTTGAAGGCAGCCCTTAGCTTCTGCAGGCCCTCGACAGTGCTGCCCGCCTTGATGTACTCATCCTTGCTGAAGATCTGTGTGCCCTTGCGATCCTTGATCTCCACGGGCACAATCTCCTTGTCAAAGTAGCCCTTCTGTTGGGCCTCCTCCGCCCGTTGCTGCGACTGAACGGCGGCTGCGTCCTGGGCATCGCGACTGAGGTTATATTTCTCTGCAATAATCTCAGCGGTGAGGCCCATGGAAATGTTCTCCATGGCATCGGTGAGGCCGTCATGCATCATTGAGTCCACCAGGGTGCCAGGACCCATTTTCAGGCCCTGCCGCAAGTGCATGACATGGGGAGCCAGGGACATGCTCTCCTGCCCGCCAGCAATCACGACATTGGCATCACCAGAACGAATGGACTGATAGCCCAGGACAACGGTCCTTCAAAGTTGAAGAATTTCATTAGAAAAAGTATATTGAAGGGGAAAGTTACTTGAAACTCACTTGAGACCTGAACCACAGAGCATATTGATGCCATAGGCTGGCACTTGGATGGGCAAACCCGCCTTGAGCGAGGCCTGACGTGCAGGGTTCTGGCCCTGACCGGCCGTGAGTGCCTGCCAAAGATTTACATAACAATTAATTTAGCAGCAAGTTCTCTGACGAAGCAAAAACGATAAAAGATAAGCAAATGGGAGAACTCACTTGACCCATGATGACTTCGTTGACATGTTGGGGCTCCACATGGCCCCGCTTGAGCACTTCCTGGATGACCACGCTGCCCAGATCGGAGGCTTTCAGTTTAGAAAGCGTTCCACTGAAGCTACCTGTTGAGTCGCGGCCGTCCCGTGCAGACGAGAAAGAGAAGAGAAAGTTACCAATTGGAATTTGGATATCGCATAACACCTGCTGACGCGTGTGCTGCGATTTGTTTACCTATGGGCGTGCGGGCTGCGGACACGATGTACACGTCAGTCATGGCTGCTGGATGCGTAATACCTGGAGTGTGTATGGATCAACAAAAATAAATTAAAATTTAATATTCGAAATGCGCCTGAGCACAATCGATTAGTCGTGGCACCTTACAACACTGAATTTTGGAATCTAGTGTGGACAGACTAGCAGCTGCTGGAGATGACAGCTGAAATACAACTAAAATCCTGGAGGAATTAACAAATTCATCTGAATGACAAAGTGGGCAATAATTTTCCATTCATACAACAATTGCTAGAATTGTTCATTCGTGCGAGTAACAGGTGCATGTGCAACTGCCATCTCCAAGTGCGGTTATCGATCCATCGATAAGATACAACAATATTATTCTTATCCGAATCAAAATTTGTGAAATATTCGGTCATAAGGTATACACTCCAATAAAGAGGAGTATTTATAATAAGCCCAATTGATTCTTTAATAGGATTAAATTATTGTTTCAGAGTTAAAGACTTTTCATGTTAGTAATATCAAATGGAACATCAAAATCGAGGAATATGATTTAAGACTACGGTATATTTACGATGTATTTCAAAATGAGATGGTATATTTTTGAGGGTACGACGGTATATTTTGTTGATAATTCCGCGTTCACACTGCAGTACACAGAAAATTAATTTTTTTGAGAAAATTGGTAAATTAAACGCACAAAACGTGAACAAAAGCCATCTCAGCGAAAGGCGCGATTACCACGCGTCGAGAGGACCAAACGGCAAATAAAACAATTGGTGATATATACGCATTTCGGCCGTCGCAATCAACAGCCCTCGCCCAAAAACGCCAACCAGCAGCAGCAGCAGCAGCAGCCGCAGCACCACACCCCCCCGCACTGCGCCGCACAATCAGCAGCCGCACACAAAAGCAGTCCAGCACCCCAGAAAATAGTAAAGCAACGCAACAAATATGCAGGCGATTAAGTGTGTCGTTGTGGGCGATGGAGCCGTGGGTAAGACCTGCCTGCTGATCAGCTACACGACAAATGCGTTTCCCGGCGAGTACATACCCACCGTGTTCGACAACTACTCGGCCAATGTGATGGTCGATGCCAAGCCCATTAACTTGGGACTGTGGGATACGGCCGGGCAGGAGGACTACGATCGCCTGCGGCCACTGTCCTATCCACAGACAGATGTCTTCCTCATTTGCTTCTCGCTGGTGAACCCGGCCTCGTTCGAGAACGTGCGCGCCAAGTGGTATCCGGAGGTGCGGCACCACTGCCCCAGCACACCCATCATACTGGTTGGCACCAAGTTGGATTTGCGCGACGACAAGAACACCATCGAGAAGCTGCGCGACAAGAAGCTGGCACCCATCACCTATCCCCAGGGCCTGGCCATGGCCAAGGAGATTGGCGCCGTCAAATATCTAGAGTGCTCGGCGCTCACGCAAAAGGGACTGAAGACGGTGTTCGATGAGGCTATCAGATCTGTGCTCTGCCCAGTGCTGCAGCCCAAGTCAAAGCGCAAGTGTGCCCTGCTCTAAAAGAAGGATGCTGGCAAAAGCAGGAGAGATGGATGAGGAGGAGGAGCAGCCCAGAGCAAGTGAAGAGCAACAACACCCACGAAGCATTACACACACCCACACACACACACTTCTCTCTAAACGTAATATTATTAACGCTAAAACAATTATGTAACTGAGGCAATGGCCATTGGTCCATTATTGTCCTTCATTGCTACACTTTTGCCACTAATTTTTGGGGGAACGTTCCCAAAGACGTTCCCAGCCACAACTTCTTGCTTCTGTTTCAATATCGTTTCCGTGTTCGTTTCTGTTTCCGTTTCCGTGTTTGTTCTACATATAATTCAAATCTATAAAATTCTGTTTGTTTTCTATTGGTAATTTTCTCCATGTGCATTAAATCAAACTAAAAGTTGTCGCCAGATGCGAGAGAGATTTCTTAACGAGAAAAAAAACCAATGAGGAAATTCTGTAACTGTAAACTCGTCGTAACTGTATTTTGTATTATTTAATACCCTTTTGTAATTAAAATTAATGTTGTAAAACTGAGGTAAAACCAAAAAAAAAAAAAACAAAACATAAAAAAGGAGAGAATAGCAAAGGAGATTGGAGGAGGACGAGTATAGCCGCATAAAGAGCATAAAGAATAGAGTTTGCCTGTTGATTGTCGATCCACCGGGGGCCATATCTTCGGGGATCAGGATAGAGTAGGATATTGAGAGTCAGTAAAGTAAAACGTTCCATTGCAATTACACTTACATTATTACATACATATTTGTATTTAGATGTTGTTGGAAAGAAATGATTGAGTGGGAGAGGCAGGCAACAAGAGTGGTAACAACTTTTTAAACTTTTGCTAGATCCAGGAACTATCAATATATATATACACACAATATTATAAATGTATGTATAAGATGAGAAAGTCCTTCGTATACTATGTACTGAAATTAAAATCATCATCAAAAAAACTGAGCAACTTTGAATACTTTGTACTTTCAAAAACCACAACAAAATATTCAACAACAAAAACAACGCAGATGAGCGAAACCAAGATAATTATATAAATGTGTCTATTTCAATGGAAATCAATAAAGCATACAACAAAACTATCACTAATACATTTAAATATTACAAACATGGATAATGCAAGCAAAGGAAACTTGTTTGAGTTTGATATCTCTTCGGAGAGTGAAGTTATTCCCGTTTAAGGATGGTAGCCGCTATCGCCAGTCTCCACTGTACTGTAACAGTTTTAGGGAGACAGAATTGTCAACCCGAAAGTGGAAATATTTGCTTATCTCGGCGAAAGTCGAAACCAAGAGTAGAATCAAAATCAGCTTGAAGCTAAGTAACGGATTTCCCCGCCCTCTCTCTTGAGCTATCTTTCTTGATGTTCACAGTGCATGGAAAAAGTCTACAGCCACCTATTGGTATTGAGAAAAGTATGTTTTCTTTTTCAAACACAATACAGCGGAAAATATCAAATATTTTGAAATATGTATAAGATCATGGTGGTGTCCCATAACACAATTGACTCAGTGTATGCACATACATGTCGATTGTGGTGTATGTGGAGTGGAATGTTCTCGCAGCTGGAAATAAATCTGGAAACAACTAAAACCGTTTTATGTTTATGTTACACACACACATACTCCTACACATGATTCGGTCTATCTGCTTGTGCGAGAGGGGTCAAGTGTCCATGTGTGTGTGTGTGTGCGTGGAGAGTGACGTGTCCATTCCCATTGAGGAGAGCAGAAGATGAATTGAATCCAATGCTGACGTGGACGCCTTTCAATTATGAAAAAATCAAATCAATTAACACCAGGGGGGAGAACTTAAGTAGAAATATTAGTGTTTATGTTTATCCTTTTTATAATGCACTTTGTCTTAGGTCTAAAGAGAGTTTTACAAAATTATTTGGCATTCGAGTTTGGAGATTCTTAAGAAGTTCTCGTATGCTTTTGTTCGCATTGGGTATTAATCTCTGGGATTGATTCTGTGTTTGATTGATTGTCTAAGTCTAGAACTCGTCGTGTCTGGCCAGAGCCTCGCCGAATTCGGTGGCCTGGGAGCCCACAAAGGCATCGTATTTGTCCAGCACTTCTGCCTTGGTCAGCTTCTCGTCGTGATCCACATCCGCTTCGAAGATCAGATGCTTGGCCTCGCTCTCGGAATGATCAAAGTCTTGGGGCGTGATCCACTGGCGCACTTCCGTCTCGGTGAGATAACCATCGCCGTCGGTGTCGCGATACTTGCTAAAGGCCTCACGCTCGCTGGCCACCCACTCGGGCTCCTCCTCGTTGGCCTCTGATGGGCGGTACATGTCACCAATGTACTCGTCCTCATTGATTTTTCCATCCTTGTCCTTGTCCAGGTCTTCGACGGTCTCCTGCAGTACCACGTCACGCATGGTGGGATGGTCCTCGGGATGCAAAAAGGCGGTGAACTCCTCACGGGTCAAGCTATCGTCCAGATTCTGATCGGCCACGGCCCAGCGGCGGCGATCACGTTTCAACAGCCCCTTGTAGCTGATGCCTGAACGATTGATTGATTATAGATTTTCCACTGACACACACTCTTTTATCCACTCACCATTCTCCTCTTGTGCCAGCTCTTCCGCTGACAAATCGTTGAGGAAGCCATAGACCGCATCGCGATACGCCTCCCAGCTGATGGTGGCATTGTTGTCCGGATTGTGCTGCCTCCACAGGCGACCCGTATCCTCCTCGATGTAGCGCCTCTGCGTGAAGGAGATCCAGTTTTTCAGCTCTGACAGTGTCACCAGTCCGTCCTTGTCCTCGTCTATGCGATCGAATATCACGCCCAGCCTCCGCTTGCTCTCCTCCGGCGAGAGGTTGTCGAACTTCTTGGACTCGTCCGGCCCCAAAAAGGCCTCGTGGTCGTACTGCGGATTGTGCTCGGCGCCATCAAAGTGTGGCGCATGCAGCGAGTCGTGCTCCAGGGGATTGTGGGGAGTCTCAGCCGGTATGCTGGACGCACTCGAAAGGCTTATCGCGACGGCCACAACTAGCAGCAACAACATTCTGACTATGGCTTCTGTTCTGTTCTGTTCGGGTTCTGAGTGGGCAAACGACTAAACATAGTTCTCTAGTGGGTTCTTTTGGTTTCTCGGAAATATACCGAGATATACCGTTTTATTATCAAAATATACTGTAAATATACCGTAAATCTTAAATCATTTTCCTCGATGTTGTTCTTCTCTTTAATATTACCAGCTAGTTGGCGCTCTCAGCTTTAAAACAGTAATTGTAATCGAATCATCATTCAATTCTCCATAAGATTGGCTGATTTTCATGAATTCTCTTTATTGGATTGCTTCCAAAATAATGTTAAAAGCAAAGTGGGTGGCAATGGAATGTTGCGTCAATTGACAATTGGTTGCTGGGCACTCTTGTACCCTATTTCCAATAATTATTATTAATAATCCAGTTTATCAGCTGCTTTTAAACATTAAAAATGTCTTTATCTTGGACTATGCCTTTTTATATGATTTATAGATCTAAATACATGCTAGGTATCTAGAATCTGCCAAATGTTGTGTAGATGGCTCACCAACACAGATTGACTTGTTTTTGCATTGATTGGAGCAAGTTTCCTGAATTTCCACAATTCGAGGATATCCTTTTTCCCAAGGGTATCATAATGTTGCTCATTTATTTCCTATAAAGCTATTTAAATATTGTACAAATAAATATGTGCAAAATGGTTGAATTGAAACGAGCTCTATGCTAACTAGCTAAATCATATAACTATTTACATCTCTGTTGTACGTGCAGGGTAGGATAGGTAGGAGTCGATCGATCTTCCAGCTATTTGTGTCCCTCAGACGGCCCGGCATCGTGGCCCAGCGAACTAAAGTCTCCCGTGTTGCAGGAGATGCTGGGAATTTCGAAATTCGAGAATCCCCGATAGTTGGCCACCTCCGGTTTCAGGGGCGAGGGCAGCGAGACGCAACTGCCGGGCACATCGCTGTCTATCAGACTATCCATGGTGGTGTCCAGCAGGCTCGTCTCGGGCTCCACTGCTGCTGCCGTGGCACTGCTCTGCGCCAGGGGATCAAACTCTTCGAGATTCAACTTGGCCTCCTCCGCCGTGCTGTTCTCTCCGCTCTGGTCGGAGAGATCAAAGTCATAATTGATGTTCGTTAGGCCGCCCTGAAGCTCTGCGCCCAACATCAGAACATCCGTACTGCCGCCAGACGAGGGCTCCTCCAGCAGCGACACCGCATCAAAGGCCGCGTAATTAAAGATGGGAGAGGCAAAGAGATTGTCTGGCTGCTGGAGGTTCGGCAGCGGCGACAGGCGTCCAATAGAGCTGATGCTGGTGTCCTTCAGGGCCAGGCCGGACTCTTCCGCTGGAATAGAGGCCTTTACCATGCCGCTGTGGACTGTCAGGGAGTGGCCGCCACTCAATACATTCGCTTGATAATGACCCGCTTCGCCCTCGTGCAGCAGCTGGGCGCGAGCCTGGCTGATGAGGAAGGCGGGCGTCTTGATGGGCAACAGCGTCAGCGGTGCCTTCGCCATGACCGTGTCCACGCGCTCCGTGACTTCAAGCTGGAACTCAATCAATTCTTTTTCGAATGCGGCTATGGCCGAACTGATGTCCCCATTCTTCTTCTGCAGCCTTTCCATTTGTTTCATGTTCTCCGAAATCAGATGCAGACTCTCGCAGGCCATTAGGGCACTCTCCCAGGGGCTGCTAAAGGGCTGCTGTCCAGACATCAGTGCATCAAACTCCTCCTTGCTGATGCCCAAACTCTCGCCATTGAGGTTCTCGATGAAGGCAATGGCCGAGCAGAGATTGGTGAAGTAGTAGCCACCCTCGCCGCTCATCACGCGCGACGCATTGGTGAAGCGCGTCACAAAGTTGATGTTGCTGTGCAGCCGCACCGGATTGGCCTTCAGCACCACAAAGATCAGGGCGGGCAGAAAGTCATCGGCACTGGCTGGTCCGCCCGTGGCACGCTTGAGCAGCTCAAAGATGTGACGACAACAGCGGACGGTGCACTGAAGTTTCTCCTGCGGCGAATAGTACGAATCGATGCCCACCAGCTCCGAGATGGCACTGTACACCAGATCCCTGGCCTCGGCATTCACCTCATCAATGCTGCAGTCCAGATGCTTCGACGTTATCCAGCTCAGCTGGCGTATGCGCTTCTGCACCTTCATGTCGCTCTCCTCGTCCGTCGTGAAGTAGGGACTAAAGAGAAATCTGCAAAAAGAATTGTTTAGATAACTGAATGGGTTGCTGCGCTGCCTGGCTGCATGACTCACTTGTGGTTCTGCGTCATCACGACCTTCTCAAAGAAGTCTATCGCACTCTCGCGATCCTCATTGGTGGCGATCTCGAAGCGCGGATCATTGTGCACAATGTCCGCCACCTTTGTGTAGGTATTCTGCACCGCATCCGAGAGCTCGTCAATGTTTTTGCTGCTGTTGCTGTTCATGTACTTCCGAATCTCACTGTCCAGTCGCTGAATTTCGCTCTTCAGCTTGCGCTTGCCATCGTCGGGAATGCGCAGCTTTTGCAGCTGCTTTACGAACTGACTTTCTGTGGGATCGGGCACATATCCACGCTGCTGGGCAACTGCATAGACAGGGGAAACGTCTCATTAGTAACAACTTATGCTTATAAAATCAAATCAATCCTTTAGCCTACTTCTTTGTGCCCCCGCCTGTAGGGTCTTCTGCAGCACTGCCGTAAATTTCTTCTTCTGCAACGTCGAGGTGTCCGGCTCCTTGTCCACTTGCTTCTTGGGTGTTTCACGCACCTGAAAATGCTGCGGCGACCTGCGGTCGCTGGTTCCGCCAGAGGAAACGGACGCGTGGCTGTGACTGTGACTGCCACTGAGGATGGGCTGCATGTCGCCAGCCTTCACTGCAAAGCGCAACTTCATGACTAAAGGCTCGCCTTGAGATTAAGCTGGACTTACGCATTTTACGCTGCTTATCGTTGCGGTCGCGAAAACATTTCGAGCAGAGGCCATCGTTCTGGGGAGTACCATAGTAGCCACAGCTCGCCCTGCATTTCAGATCTTGCTGCCCCAACCGCAGCGCGGGTGGGCGTGCGGCCGTTGACATGTTGGAGTATAGGCAACGCAACCTTTGGCTTGATTCTGCCTATCAGGTATTGATTGATTGACTTGACAACAAACGGCAGGCAGATAAAATTGGAAAATTGGTAAAATTCGCTTAATTGTCCCAGCTGTGCAGTGTGACCGCGGTTGTATCTATAAACACAACAGACCCTCAGAAAAATACCGAAAAGTATACTACATACCGAAGAAGTATCTGTTGTTTCCGCCCAATGATTTAAATTAGCTGTTTTTGTTCCACTAAAATTTTATTTTAGCATATGTACTTTATTTTAAAAACGAAAAACATTCAAACTGCAACTCAGGGAAATTTGCACAATTTGGTTTGGAATACATTGAGTAAAATCGAAGTGCCATAGGAAACATTTTCAACACACATTCACAAATATTTAAAAAAAATCAGTTTTGTTTTAGTTTTTAGCAAGTAGATACAGTTTTTATACATTAGGACGGTTATACACACAAAGAATGCAAGTTCTGGTAGGGTAGGCTCTCGGTTGGGAATAGAATCCAATCCCAAATGAAGGCCAAAAATTTGTTTTTTGTTCACAACAACAATTTGAAAAAGCTCTGGAAACACATATTCATAAATATTAAAGTTAATATCTAAGACTAGACTACGCCAAGTTCCCTGTCCTAACTGCTCCGCCAATTAATTTCTTGTTCCCAATGAAAATAACGAATTCTAAAATTAACAAGAAAATTCTCCAGCTTAATTGACGCTCTCCACATATCAACTCTTCTAGTGCTATCTCTAGCTCTCTATTTTCTATTTTCTATTCTCTAATTTCTCTAAATTTGTTTCTCTTCGTTCTAACAGTACAAAGATTTGGAAAAAACCATTTTGTTGTCGTCTTTTGTGAGTGTTTTTTGGGGGATTAGTCTTAAAAATTGCTAATATTATTCTCTCTGCCTGTTATCAAAATGCAAACCTTTGCTGTGACCTTGCCGTGTGCTCAAAACTACGAGTACAATTCGATAGTTGCGTTTACGTATACTTTAACATGAACATCCATCATCCCTCCAGTTTCAATTTCCATTATGCAATTCAACCATGTGTGTTTCGAAAAAAGTCTCGTGTATAGTTTTGAACCTTGAATTTAAGTAAAAACACTACCCTATAAGATGTCTTCTCTCGTTGGCTTCTCCTCTTTGCTCTTCTCTTCTACACTTACAGCTACAAAAATGTATTTGCTAACACTTACACACACACACGTTTGAAACAGTTATGCTGCTCTTTTTGGTTTCCAGTTAACTTTTGTGTTTTTCTTTTGATTAAACATTCTTTGGTTTTTGATTTTTTGGTTTTACTTCTGCTTGCTCCTTCTTCGTCTCTTGCTTCACACTACAAAAGATTTTGCATTGGTAAAAAATTCAAGTCTAACGATTTGCATCAATAAATTCCTTGGAATCAGTTGGCTGGTTCTGTGTATGCAACTGAATAGATTCCTTTTTGATTTTACACATTAAATAACTTTAAAATATGAGTAGATAGTTTTTGGTTCCGCCCAATGCTCAGGGCTTGCTCAGCGATTTGGTTAACTGAAATACTTGAGACCCGCAATTAGCATGAACTTTTCAATGAATAACTCCGAGTCGAGGACTGCTATGTGTGCGGCTCTGCCTATCAGTGTGTTGGCGGTGTGTGGCAGCGCGTGATGCACATCAAAGCGTGCCAGCGTCAGTTCGGGTCTAGCCAAGATCGGCGCAATAACATTGTGCACCATTTCCCTGCAAGAAAGAGTGTGAAATTGTGATACTTTTGGCATTGATTTGAGCTGCGCACCTGTATATCGTGCCCAGCGTGGAGCTGTCCCTCATGGCTGCCTTGCACAGCTCCAGGCGTGCCGAGTGAGCCGGCACATAGCGATCCTGACTGGAGCCGCACAGCAGAATGTTCTTGAAGTGATGCAGCGTGCTCCGCTGACTCAAGCGGTAGAGAAAACTGTTGCGCATATCAGTGGTATCTCGCATGCACAGCTGCAGCAAAGATCCAGACTTTTTCCACTTTTGCATGAACCACATGCCTGCCGGGAAAGCAACGAAACAGTAAGAGGGTAAACAGAGAAGGAAGAGTGCCAGCTACTCACCCATGTTGACCAATCCGCTAGTGTTGTAAAGCGTGCCCAGATGCGGCCCGGAGAGCGAGAGGAACGTGTGCAATCGTGGCAGCAGTGGGCGCATCTGTGGGCGGGCCAGCGCACTACGCACAATGATAGTGCCCAAAGAGTGGGCCACAAAAGAGATGCGTGCGGGATTCAAGGCGCAGCTATCGATATGGTAGAGTATCTCGGTTACCAGCCTGGAAAAGCAATCAATAGATGAGATGACTGCATTTTCTGGATCATTCTCGCACACTCACCGATCAGTCATGGTGTCAAAGTCCGAGAAAGTGTCGCCCTGATTCCGCTCGGACATGAGAAACTCGAGATTTACGCCTGGCAAACCCAACTCCAGATATGTGCGCACCAGCCTCAAGTCAGCGGAATTGCCATCCAGTCCATGCACGCAGATGACCAAATGCAAGCCATTCGGGGAGAACGCGCGATACTCATCGCTGATGTAGAAGTACGGCAGCTCCGATGCCAGCTGCACGTAGTCCGAGTAGATGGTGCCCTGGTACTTGATCTGCTTGCGGAATTCCTCCCGATACTTCTCAAACTCCAGCAGGGAGATGCTGGGCGGCGCCTCCTGCACGGCAGCTGACGTCTGTCCCTTGCGCTTGTGCTTTGTGCTGGTGTTGGTGCCCACCGTGGAGGTTTTGCTGCGCACGTGGGTGTGGGCATTCTCCTTGTTCTCATCCTGTTCGATGGCATCCAAGCCGTTCTGCTGGCCATGATGCGTCTGGCACTGATGATTAGGTGGATTGGGAAGATTCTGCGGACGTTTCAGCTCTGCCAGGCTGTGGGACTTGAGCACGGGCTTGTTGCTGAAGATGGCCGGCGTGGAGATGGGACGCAGTGACTCGTAGATGTGGTAAACGGGATTATCGATGGCACCCACGGGTTGGCGCTCCTTCAGCGGCGGTGCTGTTGCCGGCAGTTTGGTTCTGGGCGCAGGAAGCGGCGTGGCAGCTGGAGGAGGAATCGAAATGGGAATCGGAATGGGCACCGAATGAGCTGTGGATGGCGCTGGCTCTGGCGGTGGATCGCGAAACTCATCGGGTGGCGGTGGAGCCAGCGTGAGGGCCAGGGCTCCTATAACCTCCTGTTCCTGCTCTTGATCCTGGAACTGCTGCGGAGGCGGCAGGCACACAGCATCCAGCGGCTGCATATCCTTCAGGCTGGTAATGTCAAAGTCCGACTTGGATTTCTCGTACTTGTTCGGATGCCTGTGGCGATTGCGTCGCGGCGGTGGCTCCATTTCCTCCATCTCCGTGGACTCGCCATTGGGCAGATGTCGCAAACGATCCAACTGGAAGCGTGAGCGCTCCCTCTTGATGGTCACCGTCACCGAGGAGGTCTTCTTGTGCAGCTCCTGCTGTTGGCTCTGCTGCTGCCGGGCAGGCGTTCGACTCTGACTGCTGGAACCCGCACCTCCCGCGGCCTGCCGCTTGCGTGTCTTGTGTGGATGCTGCTGTTGCTGCTGCTCGAGTACCTTCTGCAGTCGCAGACGCAGCTGCTCCCCATTCAGACGCGTCTCCATGGCCATGCCCATGCCAAGATTCAGCTGCGTGTGCCGCTGTCGCGTGGTCAGACCCGTGCTGGTGATGGTGTCCGGACTGGAGGCTGCCAGCGAGCTTCTCCGGCTGCTCACCCAGCCGCTCTCCTCGCTCAGCGACGAAGTGGAGTTGCTGCGCTGCCGTCGTCGCAGCGAGTCCGAATCGAACTCGGGCGGAGGTGCCAGATTGGGCAAAGATTCACTGAATCCACTCGTATTTGGATCGCTGCTGGTGGTGTTGTTGTTGCTGGTGCCATTGCCATTGCCATTGCCATTTCCATTCCCATTCGTTGTTATTGCTGTTGCTGTGTTGGTGGCATCCAGCCGAAAGGGCACACTGCTGGAGGAGAGCATTTGGAGCTTCTGCATGATGTCACTCTCCGAGCTGCTGGACTCCTTGCGCAGCTGTCCCTGGCGCAGCATCTCCTTGATGTCCGACACTCGCACCCGTGCAATTTCCACCGCACGCGGTATCTGCGAGGAGCTGCTCCGGGGCATCGTTGTGTGCTGCGCAGGTGGCACTGGCGGATAGGAGTTGCGCGGCGGCACCATCGACTTGGGCAGCGAGTTGTAGGCGCCTGGCTGCTGCTGCTGCTGTCCCTGGTGCTGCTTGGGCGGATTCAGCAGCTTTATCTCGTGCAGATAATCAATCTTCCCATAGCGCTGACGAAACTCGCAGATATTCCTCATGAGATCATCAGCCTGGAGGCGTGGCAGCGTGCTGTGGCTGGCAGGGGGATGCGCTGGGGCAGCCTCACAGCCATCCAATTGATCGAGGGACTTGCTGTGCCTGGCCTGTGCCACACTCGCCGCATCCAGATCGAGATCCTCCAGCAGCCCAGTGACCGAATGCCTGGATAGGTTGTGACGCATGGCAGCGGTTGGTGGCGGCGCCACAGCAGCAGGCTCCTTTGAAGGTGCAATTGTGAGGCTGGCCTGCAGCACCTCACCGCCGAGAGCGAAGCGTGGAGTGACCACACACTTGGCATGCGGATGTGCCGGCCCAGAGCCATTCATCTGAGGATAATCGTAGTCAAAGTGGCACGCAAGGCAGTCCTTGATGCCATTCAGGCTGCTGCTGGAGTGCGTCTTGTCCGCCTTCTTCTTCTGCGGTCCCATGGAGGTCTCCTCCAGCTGCGTATCACTGCCAGAACGACGACGGGAGTAGCTGCTGCCCGGTGTGACATATCGATCCTCAAAGATCAGCGGCAGCGAGGCAGCATCCCCATCGATGGGTGTACAGTGCACAGGCAGCGGCGGCAGTGACTGCAGATAGCGACTCCTGCGAGCCAACTCCGCAATGGCCACGTACCCCTGACAGTGTCCGGGCGAGGGACTGCCATTGGCCTGCTCCTGGCAGCCGGCAGCAGCCGCATGTCGCGGCTGTTCCAGCACAAAGAAACCCTCGGCAAAGCGACGCACTCGCAGGATGTGATGCTTGCGCGCCAGCAG